CCTCTAGTAATATATTTACTGAGAAAAATGGTGACGTGTTCAATACTTATTTTACCCACTGTATATGCTTGTTTGTATGCTACATTGAGAGCACTGTTGGGGGGGGAGGTGGTGGTGATGATTTATCTCCCACTTTTTCTACGAGTACAAACACTCGGTAAGAAAAAGACGTCTGAAATGATGTAATCACTGAACCACTGTCTTGTTGAAGTAGAAACCAGACTTTAGATAGTTTTGAGAGTTTTAAGCTAATTAACATTTGGGTAAAACCTGAAAATATATTTTTACTTCATTTTTACTACAGTGATGTTTAATACAGCAGTTTCTTTTTTTAGTTTGTGTTTTATTTACTTTCTGCAACCCTTTAATTATCACCTTGATAAGTAGTGGTGGGCACAGTTCCCCTAAAATACTAAAGCACTAAATGTGGAACTAATTTCCTGGTTAGCACTGGAGTGCTTATGTTAAATCCATTAGATTTAGGATTAGGATTAGCACTTTATATGCTAAATTTAGAAGCATTAAATAATGTTTTCAACTTTATTGATCAATGTTATGCTTAACAGCTGAGGGTGAAAGATGTCACATGTTTTTTATTTGTGTGACTCTTATCCACTAAGTAACACATTAACGATATTCTACACGGTAAGTATTTTCTCATGACTATCCGTACTTAAAATTTGTAAGTCTGGATTATTTTTTACTTTACAGAAGGAGCTCCTGAAGTGATTCTGTTGAATATTTCTGTTTCCTATMCTCCATTTTTCTCACCCCAATGCCYTGGCTGTACCCAGAATGCATTGCTTCAGTTCTCCATTAAARAGTTTAAAATTTCTAATGCTTTCTGATCAAAACGCTACCATAAATATATGAAAATGACCACTGAGCTACAGACCTAGCAATTCTTAACAACTGTTTAATTACCACCATGAGTGAAAGGACTGTTACCATGAATCACCTCCCTAAAACACATGGACACATCTACGGCTGTGAAACGTTAAATATGAACCTCTAGAGAGCAACATGATAATATGTGACTTCTGTGGACTCTGGAGAAGCTTTCAGGGGTTGACTGAGTCACTTGAAAACTTTAAAATTAGCTTCTGCTAAATTCATCACTGTGTAAGCCCTTCAGAATTAGAGGACCTAAATATATATTTGCTTTAGGTCTAGTGCAGTTTTTACTGGGGGTGGGAATTTTAGTATTGATGCAATACCAAGTAAATACAGAGCTAACGCCAAAACTGATACTTGTCTGTCACTTTCATTGCCTTTAGTCTGCCAAAACACAAAAAAACAAAATATAAGACAGAGATTTTAGGAAAATAAATRGTTTTGCATTAACTAACAGCAATACAAACAATGTAATAGTTATAACCATCTATTACACAAGTTTAAGAAAAAAATCACTAGTGCAAAATAACAAAGAAGCAACATCCATCCATCCATCATCCATCCATCCATCCAACCATTATCTGTACACGCTTCTTCCTTTCAGGG